CCCCCTTAAGCCAGGCTGCTCTAGCTTAGCTTTTAAAATCAGAATGGCCAGTCTGGCCTTCCCAGCTGCCTTTTTAAAAATGGACACTTTCATATTTTTACTTTTACATTTAAATAATACAACTTTTGAATTTATCTTTAAAAGAGGCCACATGTAGGTCAGAGGAAATATGAGAAAAACTTTGGAAGGAGAGACTCCCTCCCCTCCTGTGTGTAAATGGACTACGGTGACATAGGCGTTTTTCAGATTGCCTTAATGTTCCATTTTCATTCCCTGATGTTACTGTGTTGTTGTTTTTCTTGTATCCAGTCAACTTCATTAACATCCCAGTGCTGTCCTGGTCTTTCTTTCTTTCCCCCCCCATTCTTTCCTAAACTAGTTTTTCTGGTACTTTTTTCCCATTGTGGAATGAATCTGCCAGATAGCCTCTTGCTTGGAATGTGAATATTTTCCCCCACCTTGTGGATTGCCACCCAAAACCCACCCAGAAAGGGCAGGTTTGGGCAACGAACTTTAAAAATATATATTTGCATGCCGGCACTGAAACGTTTCAGTGCTGGAGGGCGCCTGTGCTGAAACAAACAGTCAGTCCCATTGGGAGGTGTGCTGCCCCAGCCAGCATTTAACTGAAGTTAAATAGAACTGCCATATATCTTTAAGAGCAGTGGTCCCTGGGAATTGAAGTCTTTAGTTAGACATCCCACAGCATCCCTGTGACTGGCTGATTAACAGTCATTTCTGGCACACAGAGGCGCGAGGATTAGGGCTGCCAAATGCCCCCAGGGGGCGGAATTCCCCCCCGCTTTCGAGCCCCGATTTCCACTCCCGTGGAATCGGGGCCCAGGGGAAACCCCACCCCCGCGTGCGCGTCACACTCTTTGTTTTCCCCTCAAATGGCGTGGCCCTGCCCCCAGCGTGCGACTTCACTTCCGGGTGACGCGCTACACGCGCGCGCCTAAGACGCCGGCCGGGAGCCCCCCACTCCCAGCCAAAAAACATTTGGCAACCCTAGCGAGGATTCGAGTTTACAGCTCTCTTCCCGTGGCCTTTGTTCTCTTTTAACGGCAAGGAGGTGGGAACGCGCAATCCTTTTCACCATGAGCCAGTGAACTGAATTAGATTACAAAAGATGTGAACTTCAGCAGTTATTCAGCCTGATTGACTGTACGTAAGGACATCTTCTGAATGCATATGGAATTTAATAAAAAGTGATTTAATTCTACTTTGCTCTGGCCGTGTGTTGAATCACGTCCAGAAAGCGCTGTTGACTTCCGACTTAGCGCTAGACGGAACAGGAGGCCTGACACCAACTCCTGCAGCTCTGCTTATACAGGAAGCTGACCAAAGTGATCTTGTGGGGGTGGGGGGATGGAATTCTGCAACTCCAGTTCCTTAAAAACCAGCTCTTGAGGTGTTTACCAGAACAATGTAGAGAGACACTGAAGGAGATACATGTGTCGGTGGGGGAAGATGGGGGGGGGGGGGAGCAATATCCTGGCTACTGTGAATGCCCTGGATCCCATACCTACCCCTCGCTTTATACCAGAGTAGATGTACTGAAGCCAATGAAGCTTTGTGCCCTGCCCATGTGTTCTGGGACAGGCTTGGGTGACACTGACGGCTTCATGAAGTGATACCTCTTAACTCCAAAGTAAGGCCCAGGAAGGGGAACTGGAGCAAGGAAGGGACTTTCATGGAGCCTTTCCTCTCAAGAAAAGGCACAGGCACTGGAGATTAGGGCAGGCTTATCCTGGAAGTGCCACTCTCCATACATGCTTACTTGAGCATAAGCCACACTGAGCCACTCAGAGAGATCACTTAAATGCAGGAAAAGAGGCAACCAATAAGGGTTGAGACACATACACCAGGAACAACCCTCAGCTGCAGTGTGATGGGCGGGGAATGTACCTTAACAGGGATTGTGCAGCCCCCTTGAGGCTGCTGAAATGCTGCAATGTTTCAGCACATGCACAAAAGCCCCCCGAACCCCCCCCCACAGAAAATCAATCCTCAATTTGATTGTGAACAGACAGAATCATGACGGTGTGGGTGGAAACATGTAAGCAGGGGTCTTTTGGGGCCGGAGCGTGCCGGAGTACTGCTCTGGCACCCCAGGAGCCGGCACAAATGGTGGCAGAGGCAAGCCCCACCCCCAGCTCCCCGCGCCAAAGTGCTGCGACCTGGAGGAAGCCCGAAGAGCCCTGCATCCGGCTTCCCCAGGCCCACGGTGAAGCGCTGCGGCCAGGGGGACGCCCGGAGAGCCCCACCGCTGGGTCCCCCGAGCCCGTGCAGAAGCGCTGCAGCTTGGGGGAGGCATGGAGAGCCCCGCCACCGGCTTCTCCGGCCTGCGCCAAAGCGGTAAGTAAGGGATCCGTGGGGGCAGGGGTGGCGGGGGCTTGATGGGGGGGTGGGAGAGTCTCCCTCCCTCCCTCCATCTCTTTGCCATCTTTCCCTCCTTTTTTCCTTCTCTCTTTTTATCCCCTCTTTCCCTCCATCTTTCCTTCTCTTTCTTTCCCTCTTTCCTCTTTTTATTCCTTCTTTTCTTCCTCCTTTCCTTCTTTCTTTCCCTCTTTCCTTCCTTCTTTCCTTCTCTCTACTCTCTCTCTTTCCTTCTCTCTTTCCTCCTTCTGTGGCCCAACTCTAGGCCAGCTGGGGAAGGGAAAGGGAGGCTTTTGAAGATCCCTCCCCCCCTTTTGCTTCCCCTTCTGACATCAATTCCGGTGATATCAGGGGGCATGGCATATGCTAATAGCCCAGTAGCTCATTAGCATACCATATGCTAATGAGCTCCTGCAGCTTTTTTCTATGAAATGACCCCTGCATGTAAGTGTGAACTGATTGCACTGATAATGTGATCATTCAAACCAGCACAACACCCATGAAAATGCAAAAGGTGGTTGTAGTTTGGGAAATGCCATAGCAATGATTACATGTGCAGAAGCACTATAGCACCACAACTACCAGGCAGAGTCCTTGGCACTTATAGTAGAGTCTGAACTTGGCTCTGGCTCCAGCAGAGCTCTCAACCACTAGGGCAGGAGCTTAGATGCTGAGAAAAAAGGGTCTTTCTCCAGGGTTTACTTTGCAGCATGCAAAGATCATTCATGCTTTGCACATCTGCTCAGAGACTGTCCCTTTCTCTGACCAAACCTACCGTCAGAGCCCAGTTGATCCAGGGGAACTTCCTTCTTGGCAACAACGTTGACCGCAAAGGTAAAGGCTGAATCCACGTAGTAGCGTCCCAGTTCTGCAATTATCTCCACCCCACAGCCTTCTGGGAAATGCAGGTCTAAGGCAGAGTTGACCACAGTTGTTGTCTGATTAAGTAGGGAAACGAGTCCAAAATTCTGTTGTTACTGACATGCAGACATGAGGTCCAACTAAGTTCTCTAGCTTGTGCTCCAGAGCTGTAAAGTGAGCAGTGCACTCATCCCTTCTGTAACAGGATCTCCAATTAGGATGAGGCATGCATGCTCTTCAGTTAAATATGCTAGGACTCACTGAGAACCTGCCACAAATGTATAGCTTCCCCTTCCCCTCAACATCTGTCAAGTGTTAACATTTTGGCTTGTATTCAGATCTTTCCTGATTGGGGTGATCCAGGCTAGCCCGATCTTGACGCTAAGCAGGATCACCCTGGTTAGTACTTGGATGGGAGACGACTGAGGAAGTCCAGGGTCGCTATGCAGAGTCAGGCAATGACAAACCACCTTTGAATGTCTCTTGCTTTGAAAACCCTACAGGGTCACCATAAGACTTGATGGCACTTTCCACCACTACTCGATTCAACAGTTAGTACCCTAATATATCATCTACGCAGAAACTAAGATTTCTGTTATTGCTATGAAATTATTATTCAAGTAACTACTAGCAAAATACTCAGCGTTACTATGGCCTGAGTGTTCGTGGTGATGGCACTGTTGGAGGAGCATCTTACTTCGAAGTAAGTACTCAGGGGGAGCGGTGGCACAGAGGATTTATCCTCTGGTTATAAGTAGTAACATCTGAGCTGAACAGGCTTGCTGTCAGTTCTAGCCTTGCGCTGGTGTGAGCTGCCAGCCTTGTCCCCAGCTCACCGTCTACCCAGCGGTTCGACAGCTTCGGCGAGTAGATAAAATGGGTACCACTCCTTAGAGAGAGTGGGCACACTGAAACCCCCCCCCCTCGTGAGGTGGAACGGTGTTAGCCGGCGAACGGAAGTCCAGCTCGCATGATGGAAAGCCTAGAGAGATCTCCTCGGCGTGAAGAAAAGCCTGTAATGGGCCGTCCGGCCAGGCAATGGCAGTGTGGCACTACAACTCAAGGAGTCTGGAGAAAAGCTGACGCCATCAAACTCGGCCGAGGAAAAATGCCATTCCGGATCACGTCTCATCTGCATCTGAACGAAACCCTCGTCGGCTGAGAATGTGTGCAATTTAAGATGTATATATGTTGTCCTCCCTTACCCTACAAAGCATTGTTAGTCCCTCGTGAAAAATGAGTAACTGTAAATCGCTCAGAGCCAGCAAGCTCTGCAGGATTGAGTGAGGAATAAATTGAAAGATTATTATTATTATTATTATTATATTTCAGGGAACCCTGGGGGTGGTGCCATTTAGCTCCAAATGCTCTGTCTCGACATGCTGCACACTTACCCTTTTCCACCCCCTGCCAGTAAGAAAGCTGGGCCATCTGGGGGGGGGGGTAGGTCTTGCTCCCACCCCAATATGTCCCCAAGGGAGTGAGCGGCAGCCATCCCACTCTATGGGAGAAAGCACAGGGATATCGTGGGAGGGAGGAACCTCCCTGCCTTGGCACAAGAGGTAAGGGTCAGTTTTCGCCCCCTCTCAGCTGTGTCCCAGAATACCACCTGTCAAAACCCCTGAGACCAGAATCCTGAGTCTGCCCTGCCCTGGCCCTTCCACTACTCAGTCCCATCCTGGGCTCTGTTATTTGGTGTATGGGTGAAGCGTGTCTTGCTTAAGGCCACCAAAGAAACTTTTTGTCTTAGGGGGAACATATGAAGCTGCCTTGTACTGAATCTGGACCTTGGTCAGTCACAGTCAGTATTGTCTACCAGGACTGGCAGCAGCTCTCCAGGGTCTGAGGCTGAAGTCTTTCCCATTACCTACAGCCTGGTCCTTTTAACTGGAGATGCCAGGAACTGAACCTGGGACATCCTGCATACTGAGCAGATACTCTGCCATTGAGCCACAGACCCTCCCCCATGGCTCTTGCCCACCTTGATCCAACTCCCTCTCCCCTGCCCCATCTAGTAAAGGGTCTTTCTCCACACCAGACCATCTCCTGCATGAAAGAGGGAATGCTAGAATATACTTGTACCTCTTCAAAGCGTCCTCTAGTCTCTTCGGCACCAGGAAATCCACCTCCAATACCCAAGAGGCACATTTTGTAGCCCAGCTCTGCACCCATTTTGAAGACCAGGTGAGCATCTGCTATGGATTGAGTGAAGATCTGAGGATCGGTACAGCCGCTTCTAATGTGGAAACTAGAAAAGAAGGCAGGTGGGTAACTGCGTTGTTTTTTGGAAGTGTTAATTCCACCACAGGCCTGAGTCTCTACTCTCCACTCTGTGAGGACCCTTCCTCAACCTCATCCCCCTGCTGCTCATGGAGACCACCAAGGACCGAATACTGGCCACCACCTTGGGTGTACTCATGCCACATCCTTCTCCTTTTTCCTCAGCAGAGAGCTATCCCCCATTATTCTCCTCCATTCCTGAACATTCCGGTTCATCCCAATATGTCCTCCGTGGTTGTCCCTTCTTGCTTTTGGATAGGCATCTCAGAATCAGGCCTTGGCTGCCACAGTGCGCTAGGGAGGGAGGGGAGAGGGAGGCCACGGCCTGGCTGGCCAGCCAGAGCACTTTTGCAAGCCAGAGGTGGGAAATCAAAAGCCCCCTTTCCTTAATTCATGCAGGAAATTCTGCTACCTACCTGACTCCGACCACCTCCACATTCATATCCTTTGCAGTCTCTAGCAGATGCCGGCAGGATTTCAGGGTGGCACCAAACCTCATAGTTGGATGGCCAGAGGATCTAGACTCATCAGTCGCTAGGCTCAAAATCATTCTGTGAAAAGATGGGGGGGGGGGTCACTGAATTTGGCTGGCTGGATGGCTGGATGGCTCAGGCTAGTACCTGGATAGGAGACAACCAAGGAGTTCTAGGGTTGCTATGTGGAGGCAGGCAATGGCAAATCACCTCTGTTTATGTTTTTGCCTTGAAAACCCCATGGGGTTGCCATAAATCAACTGTGACCTGACAGGATTTTCCAGCACCACTATTATTATTCCCTCTGCTAAGGGGTTACTATTCATTTCACACCAAAAGTGTGTGAGGCGCTGTACACCTAGAAGCATAGAAGTCACACAGCCAACAGAGATGCTGCTTCACACTGGGCTGGGCAAAAGCCTCATATTCTGCACACGGGATGCTTTTTTAAATAAGATTTTCCTATCATTTTATTTGTTGATTGCTTCTCTTTCCTATATGTCCAAGAACGCGGTTACTGGTGGACAGTGGGGCCGTGTGGGACAAAGACTTGCAGCTAGGAGATCTGAGCAGGAAAAAAAATCACCTGGTGGTACTCTTCTTGGCTGCACCCCTTTGGCATTTGGGTGGGGAATACATATTCAAGTGTTTTCCCATATAAAAAAAACCCTGCTGACATTTAGCAAAAGATGTGATATTGAAACAGGAGTCACCATGGATTTCGCTCTTGTGGGGACAGCCACAGTGTCTCCACAATGTGAATAATTTTTCATTGGCTCCACTTATTTATTTATTTATTTGTTAGATTTTTACCCTGCCCTCCCGCCAAAGTGACTCATGGCGGCTTACAGTAGTTAAAAACCAGTATACAATTAATAGAATATCAAGTCTAAAATAATACAATCGATAAAATATCAACACACAACTTATTAAATTTAAGATTAAGATGTGGCGGCCATCTGTTATAAAGTACAAGTAGTTATGTGGAACGGTCAGTGTGGTCAGACTATTGAAACGCTTGCCGGAACTTATACCCTGCCTTTCTCCCCAGCAGGGACCCAAAGGGGCTTACATCATTCTCCACTCCTCCATTTTGTCCTTAAAAACAACCCTGACAGCTAGATTAGGCTGAGAGTGTGTGACTGATCCAAAGCTAACCCTGCGAGCTTTTGTGGCAGAGTAGTGATTTGAGCACCCTGGGTTTCCCCAATCCTAGTCCAACATTCTACTTACTACACCACACTGGGTAAACCATGCACAGTCAAAGCACATCGGCTGTCATTAAGACAACACATGCACGTTTATTCATTTAATTATTCATTCCTTACATTAGTGTATACTAATTTAAAAATAATGGGAAAATATGGGGAGAATAGGGAGGTGAGTTGATGACTGTGCAGGTAGCAGCCAATTAGCACTGTGCATGGTCAATTTCCTTTGCAAATTCACAAAACTGTTCCCACCCCCTCCCCCTAGAGCTCAAATCTGGAGAAACAATGCTTGGTTTGTACATTATTTGATGCACTTCTGTAACAGCCCAACTACTCCTATAACATTACAGTTGCTCACACACTCCCATATCAAGGTGAAAACTTCAAACCTAGCCTTCTCCTTAACCTCCCAGTTCTTCTTTACAACCGTGAGGGCTAGAAACCTCTTTTCCCTGGAACCCTGATGGATCTGAACAAGGGCACTGTAACTTTCGTGATAATCAAAGGTCTAAGGTTCACAACTTTTGTTCTTGTTGCTCAAAGCTCTTCTGTTCATGGAAACGACCCTCCACCCCACTCCACCCTATATCCCCACAAGTGCTGTGTATGCCTACCTGGCAGATGGGTGGTTCCGCGCTACCTTCCCAAGCTCCACTTCATTATCAAAAGTCATCAGCTGCACCCCTTGGCTGGCTGCATACTTGATCTGGGAGATCTGCTTGCAGGGGCCTGTACAGATGATCCTGTTCGGTGGGACTCCAGCACTTTTCGCCAGTGCCAGCTCTGGCTGGAGGGAAAGCAAAAGGCATTGGAAGGGGTGGATTGACTGGGCACTATGAGGTTCAGTCAGGCCCTGGACTCCCTTGTCTCTGTGCCATCATGGGCAGAGTAAAAAGCAGGCATTTCAAGCCAAACATTACAGACCAGAATCCACCTGACCTGGAGGCCAGAGAATCCTCCTGACCAGGTGTGCTAGAGACCCACTGCTGCCCCACTACCTGCAAGGGAGCTCCCAGGCCAGCTATCACTCCTCCTTTTGAGACTTTCTTTCCATCCACTTCTTGTGGATTCCTGCCCCTGTAATGGCCTGCTAGCTGATTCCCTGATCTGTTCAGCCCTATCGGGTTCGAATGGATGGTGGGACCTTCTGAACGGCAAACCATGCCTCTGGTTTCCTGTCTGATCTCAGGCTTCCTCATCAGCTCTTGGGCCTCAGTCTTCCCAACACTTAGAATGAAAGCAGACATAATACAACAAAGACAAACATTCTCTCAAGACAAGCAGCAGACATCTGCCAGCCCTTTCCACTCCTGCTTCAGGGAGGCATCCCACTTCTTTTATTTTGAAAGGGTCAGGTGTACGTCATCAGTCTACATGTTCCAATTCTTCATCATATTTGGGGGGAAGAACAAAAACATTTTTGAAACAATTGCAACCCAGCTGCTGGGGATGTATGGAGACTAACTTATCAGCAGTATTCACAGCTGCCTTTTACTGCAGACTTGCAGAATTGAGATTGTTCATTTTTTCTGAAACCCCCGCCCCCCAGGAAATAAAATTTGAGTCCAGTAGCACTTTCAAGACCAGCAAAAGTTTCCATGAGACAAAGCTCATTTTGTCAGATAAAAATGAGACAATCCATCGGTCCTTATATCCAGGTCAGAACACGGGACATCAAAAATCTCAAAACTCAGAAACCAGTGGGTGAACATTTCAGTATTCCAGGACATTTCATTGCTGACCCTAGAGTGGAAGGCAGTTCTACTACAGAGAAGCTTCAAAGGGAGATTACAATGTGAGTTTGCTGGACTAGAATACATCAAGTTCAGGACAATGGACACCCTAAGCAGGGCCGGCTCACCTGCTAGGCGAACTAGACATTCGCCTAGAGCGCGGGCTGCCCCTTAGGGCACCAAACTGGACTGGGGGAGTGGCAGCGGAGGAACCGAGGAGGAGGAAGACTCGTGAGCAGGGCTCCTCCGGTCGGAAGGGGAATCAAAGCAAAGTGATTTGTTTGTCACGCGCCCACCAGGGACAAAGACTCTGCTGTCGTTCGTTGCAAGACTGTGGCCTGCGTCTCTTTTGGGAAGAGAGGGGGGGCAAAGCCTCTTCTTCCGGGGTCAGTCCCATGGGAGCATCCGGTCTCCCCCGCCACGAATCAGAGCTCCCCCCCTCCCCAGCCCTCTCTCCAGCGAGGCACATGGGCGATGGAGGTGGGGAGGGACAGGCTTGTCTCAAGACAGGGCACATTTGTAAAAGAAACCCGGCAGGAGCGATGGAGCTGCTTGCCAAGCTGCAGACAGATCCAAGCCCACAAAAAGTGAGGCGTCCAAAGCGCCGCCTGCCACCCTCTTGCAGCTCTTCTTATGGGATTTCACCACCTCGTGAAACAGGAACGCTTCACCAGCTGCGCTCCTCAGCGCCTGCCTACCAGGGGTCTCTCCGGGGGCATCATGAAGCCTGTTGCTGGCCGGGCACGAAGGCGACTTGCTCTGGCAGCAATGGGCACTGTTGTGTGCTCTCTGGCACCGTTGTGTTGCGTGTTCTCCGGCGCTGCACAGGGCCTGGCCCTTGGAGGAGGGGGGCACCTCCATTGTGCTCCGATCCCCCCCCAGTCGACCACGCTGAGCCAGGTGAGTGCTGCTGCAGCAGGCAAAGGGCGGGGGGAGGGCAGGGGGGCTGTCCGCCTTCGGGTCGCACCACCGTTGAGTCCGCTGCCTGCCTGGCCAGCCACCCACTCCGGCTTGCAGGCCAGGTGGAACTTCCCGGGGTGGCCTGATGGGCAGCGAGCAGACAGAAGCCGGGTACAGGCACTGACTGCAGACGCGCCGGGGACTGCTCGGGCCTGGGCTCTGCTCACGCACATCTCCCCCAGCGGGCTGGGCAAATGGGAAGCCGATCCGGGCAGGGGCGAGGCTAGCTTGTGGCACCTGGCGCCCCCCCCCAGGCGTGTTTTTGGGAGGTCTTTAGGCCCCACCGGGAGGTTGGCATCGCCTGGGGGGCACGGGTGCCACAAGCTGGCCTCGCCTAGGGTGCAGAAACACCTTGGGCCAGCCCTGACCCTAAGGCTGAATAGGGACATAGTATTCTTATCCTTTTTTGGCATCAAGTTGCACCTGACTTATGGGGACTCCCATGGGGTTTTCAAGGCAAAAGACATTCAGAGGTGTTTTGCCATTGCCTGCCTCTGCATAGTAACTCTAGACTTCCTTGGTGGTCTTCCATCCAAGTAGTAACTAAGGCTGATCCTGCTTAGTTTCCAAGATGTGATGAGATGAGGTTAGCCTGGGCTACACAGGTCAGATTACAGATGCTTATTTTCTGCATTTCCCACCTCTGTGAATATCTCTGTGCATAACACCTAGCCCATTTTGCATTGTACTTCTGCATCCTGACTCCACCAGACCCTTCCTGGTAACACCTCTCCTATCTTCTGACCTGGATATAAATGCTGATGGATCTTCATTCTCATCTGGTGGTCTGTGAAGACAGCTTAGACCCTGGAAAATGTTATTGGTCTCGGAGGTGCTACTGGACTTAAGTTTTGTTTTACTACTACAGCCACCTGCAAAAGAAGAAATGACACATCCATGGTGAATATCTTGAGGGTACTTTTGAAACATCCCCACAAAGGACATAAGTGTCTTTCCAACTTGAAACTGGACATTTGATGCTGGTGCAAAGAAGCACAAAAAGGAGAATTTATTTTGCCGTGGATAGTAGCTAGCAAAAGGACTTGGGGCGAGGGTTGTTTGAGATTTATGGATCATGATGGATCACCATTAGTCCATTAACATTTATATAATATTTATATGAGAAACCTATTTGTAGAAGATAACTAGCAACACATTTCATTAAAAAAGATAACTAGCAACACATTTCATTAAAAAATCATCAACACAATCTTTTACAAATGCTTTGTATGAACCAGTACTTGTTAGCAATATCAATGCAGATGTTTTTGTTCACACATGTGGATTAGTTCTCCCTTCCCTTCTGTGCTGCTACGATCATGATATAGATAGCAGAACAGGACTGGGGTTGTGTATGCCCTGTGGTGAACAACTATATCTAATAATAAAGTGTCCAGACTCCACAACAGACACAAAAGCAGAACTAGGCCTCCCCCATACTCGGGGAATGCCCTGGAAATGCAGGGTGGGGTGGGGATTTTTTTTTTTGCCATCAAGTCTCAACTGACTTGGCAACCCCATAGGGTTTTCAGGACAAAAGATGAACAGAGGTGGTTTCCCATTGCCTGACTCTGCATAATAATATTGGACTTCCTTGGTGGTCTCCCATTTATGTACTAACCAGGGCTGACCTTTGCTTCTGAAGAGATCAGGCTAACCTGGGCTATCAAGGTCAAGGTAGAAAAATAAGACTTTGGGCTTTTCTGCATCCTCACTTTCCTCGCTTGTGTGTTCCTGTTGTTTCAGCCTTCTGAACATGTTTTGCTCCCTCTAGTGGTCAATTTGATATATTACTTTATGGCTGTGATCAGATGAGCACCTTGATTCACTGCTGTTGCTTCTCCCCAATGGATTTAAAGTGCTCATTCAGATGGCAACATCTGTCTCTCATCCCACAGTCATCAGCTTCCTGTGCTCACACCAGACTTTCCCAACATTGCAGAAAGTCCAGTATTTATGTATCCAACCGGTTTCACAGCACTCCTATGGATGTGTCATTGCTCTTGCGTGGGGAAGCCATTTGGGAAGTCAGATTGCTGACTTCCTGTTTTGCTGCCATTTTGGGGGGTGTTACCAACCTGCGCATAAGCAGATAAGTGCTTTTTCGTCCCGTCCCCCCCCCCCCAGCCTATGTCTGGCATATCTCCATGAAGGTTTTTATGCTGCACACAGAGTGATATTATATTGAATCGACCACTAGAGGGAGCAAAACATATGCAGAGCAGTAAAAAATACCCAAAGCAACAAGAACACACAAAAGAGAAAAATGAGAATATGGATAAGCCCTCTGTAAAGTATGTAAAAGAAGAATTATTTTAAAAAAAATGTCTGAGGAGGATTGAGCATGCCCCAGAAGGGAGAGAATGTTGAGAGTCAGTTAAAGAGAAAAGTTGTGGAGGAGGGGGAGCCTGCTTAAGCACTGAATGCTTATACAGCTCCTGGAGGAAGAACGGGGGCGGGGAGGTTGCAAATTGCTTCTCCCTCCTGCAATTCCCCACCGTGCGTACTATTAAAGTAAAATCCAAATTCCAAGGGGCCTCAGTTTTGCAATGATCCTACCTTATTGGCACATCCAAATCCAACCCCCAGTCCTGCCAGCATCTGGACCACTCCCTTACTGCAGTTACACTTTGGAGCGTAGAAGGGCTTGACACGGGGCAAAGCTTTGAGGAGGCGCAAATGTTTCTTCACCACATCTCCAAGATCTGCCACAAAGAAGGCTTCTTGGCTACCCTGGAGACCAGGAAGGAGATTTAGCAGTCTTATTTCTGGGGCAAATCACCCAATTTATTTTAAAATTGTTATATCCACTTATTCAGACAGTTATCATTTAAGGCAGACGACAGTACATGCGGTCACCACTGTTAAGAGTTGAATGTATTTCACTGAACTTCACTTGCAGTAGTTCCCGATTATAAACCCGTACTCAGGGCCTAACTCTGAGAAGTGATGAGAGTGGGGTAGCCTGGGCCATCCAAGTTAGGGCAATATCTAACTACATGATGTGTTTTTCTTGCATCCTTCCTTCCCAATCAAACGTGTGCTCCAAGTTCCCAGGTATGCAGGGCTGATTTCAATCAGGACTGTGGGAAGCAGGGGCTTAAGCCTTCCCTCCACATCATTTCCCCAACCTGAAATCCCCCTCCCTTACTATTTGCCCTTTTGGGGAAACCGTGTTTACCAATGAGCTGCATATAAGCTGCCCCATTGGGGCAAATAACACGTTCATTGCAGGTGGGGGGGAAAGCATGGGGGAGACACCACCCCCCGCATGCCAAACCCTGACCTCTTCATATTCCACCCCCAAAATCACCAGGTATTTCCCAACCCAGAGCTGGCTATCTCTCTCCTTGCCTTGCTAAGACTCAGCTGACCTGGCCATGCTGATGCTTTTGTAAGTTTGTGGCTGGACTACCGGATGGCACTCTACACAGGGCTGCCCCTGAAGACAATCCAGAAACTGCAAGTGATTCAGACTGCAGCAGCCGGATTATCATCAGGGCCCAGGGGCTTGCTGACAGGAACATACCCATCTTAAAAGAACATAATTAGCTGCCAGTTTTTTCCACTTCAAATTTTCCTTTAAAACTCTTCATGGCCTTAGCATCCACATATCTAACAGGCTGCCTCCCCTCATCTGTCTTTGTGCAACACCTTCACACCAGCCGTTCCCCCATTTAAAGTAGCCTGCCTGGTGTCAACCAGAGCCTCTGCATTTTCCATTATAGTTCCCACTCTTCACAAATTTTCAGGAAGTGCTGCAAGACCATCTTATTCACCAGGGCTTTTAATGGGGGTATAACCTGCAGGCATCTTTTGGCTGGAGGAAGGTTATTGAGAGTCTTTTATTATGTTCACTTTGCCATGTTTTTGTAATGTTTTAATCATAAACTATGAGGAAAGACAGGATATAAATATTTACATAAATAAATCAATAAGTGATGAAAACCATTGATGATCACTCTTATTTGGCATAACTTATTTCCCTCCTTCTTATCACGGGGAAGAGCAAGGAGTGGAATACCAACTGAAGCCCCACTTCTGGAAAACTTTTGGGTTTAATTATTCTTCTGACTTCAGAGGTCTTATAACACATTGCGCACAATGCATTTAAGCATATTTTCAGAACCCTAAAGGCTAGAAACATTTCTGTAGTCTTGGGATTCTCGTGAAGCTCCCCTCTCTTTCGGTGACATGTCCCTCTGCTGCTGACCACCTGGAGAACTCTTCAGCTATGTCCTCCCTTGACCCCTTTTCTGCTGCCGCTACCACCTGTTGGCAGAGGGGAGCGTGCATGAAGAGCCTCTTACCCTCTGGGAAGCCTCCTTTAGGAGGCTCTCCATGAGATCCTTCATGGTGAAACCCTCCTCCACCATTGTGACATCCAGTTCATCCAAGTAGCCGGCCATCGTCACCACCGAGGGAGAATCTTGTATCTCAAATCTCTGTTGGAGGGGGTGTAGTTTTTAAGTATGCAACACACTGTGAAAGGAACAAAAAAGGAAGGATAGTTAAGCCCTTCTCGAGCCATCCAAGCCAAGGGAAGACATTTAGCCGTGGCTTTCCCACTTTCTACCTGAGCATTTTCAAGTTCTTCTTCTCTTCCAACCATAAAGGCTAGAAAATTATTTCCTTTACTTGAAAACTGAACTTTTTAGGGTTATGATGACCTGGTACTAACTGGTTTGGTGTAGTGGTTAGAGTGTGGAAATAACCTCTAGGAGGCACAGGTTTTAATCCCCGCTGTGCCATGGCAGCTTGCTAGGTGATCTTGGGCCAGTCAAATACTCTCTGCCTAACTTTCCTGAGAATGCTGTTGTCAGGAGAAAATAAAGAGGAGAACAATGTAAGTGGCTTTAGGTCCCCATTGAGGAGAAATGCAGATTATAAATGAAGTAAATAAAATAAACAAATACCCTAGCCAACTTTTAAAATGCGCAGTTCAAGCTCCTTTTTCTTATCTGGGGCTGCGACCACATGCACAATTAGACCCGCCATAGGCATGAATGCTGGGCAGATTTAAAGGATGTGATCAGACAACAACATCTGGGAAGTGCTCCAAAGCCATTGGCAACCTGTTCTGCTTTGCTGCAGAAGCGAAGTTAAAAGGCACCAGGGAAAATCTGGTAGAAAACGTGTTGCGACGGGCCACAGATGGAGTTTCCTGTCTGATCACTCCAGTGCACTCTCATGGTGTCGGGATGGTCTGATCAGGCCATTCCAACTCTGTGCCATGTTTTTTCCCCCTCTTCTCAGTATGTGCATCATCACAAACTCCATAGGGAGCCCTCAGTGCGGAGGCGCGGTTCATTGATTCCTCGTTTAAGCTCGTCGGAGACAAACGGCAAAAAAAACGCCGACTCACGTGTGGTTGCGTCTGATCACGCAGTGGCGGGCTGTGTCTGCAGCTTCCCAGGACTGTGTGATCACGCAACTGCAGGTCAAATTTCTCTGAAGGAAATAACCTTGCTCCCCCCCCCCACCCCCTTTTCTTTTTGGCATGTGTGACCACAACCTTTGACTCTACCCCTCAGTGCCATTATGAAAGGAAAACCAAACCAGAAATGTATATATTTTTAAAACTTCTGCTTTCAGGTAAACAGCACTGGTGAAGAAGAAACAAGAAATCAGAAAGTTAGCAACTGTTATATCATCAGGTACTTTTATGTGGATATCTGTGACGTGATAGCAAGAATAATACAGTCTTCCAAGTGGGATATCTGCAAATAACTCTCAGGAACAGGGAGATCTCATTCCCCATCAGCGCCCACTTGTTCCACTCTTTGAGCTCTGCCTAATTCCTCCACCACTGGCTCCTTCTCCCTCCCCTGCCCTCCTGTCATCTCTTCCCCCTCTTCCCCCACTGCCATCTCTCTCTCCCCCCCCCCATCTCGCTTATTGCCATCTCTCTCTCTCTCTTTCTCTCCCTCTCTCTTTCATCCTGATCCTACTGCCTCTTACTCCTGCCCACCCGCCTCCTCTGCTGCACACTGTGGCATCTTCTACTGCAGTTGCTATGCAACCCCCAAAATGGCATGGTAAGATCTCGTGACATAGCATTGTGAGATCTTGTTTTTCGTTTAACAGTTGGGGTTTTTAAATCTCCTCACATTTTTTTATTTTTCAGAGCTTTTCTGTAAACTTGGGGATATCCCTAGGTTTGTAGAGACAGATCTCCCCTACCTGTACACGGCCTACTTAGACAGATTTTTTGATCTGCACTCTTGGACCATGTTCAGAATAAGATACAAAGATTGTGCCAAGGAATCTTTGTTGAATTAATGTATTAATAATAAGTGGGTTTCAATACATAGAAGGCAGTGTAATGTTTTGTTTTGTTTTAAATATGTCTGTTTGTGGTTGTCAATGATGAAGTATTCCATATTTTGCTGAGACATGTGTATAGTAATAGGTGCTTTCCACCACTCTTTTGGTAAGCAAAGATGGGATTTGTGCATGCAGTTCAGACAAACAACATTGGGGTCACATGATGAGAGAGAACTCTGGCCCCAGAACTTCTAATCTTGGAGCAGGTCCACCAAATATGATGAGGGCCGTCTTTTCCACACACCCTCCATCAAAGTTCAGATTTATTTGCTGAGACCATTTAAGACTATTGGATGGGAGGTACTCATACTTTGGATACAGTTTCATTAATACTGAGACAGCTTGATATTAACAGTTGTGCTCTCCAAATTTCATTTCAAGTCTCCTTGGTAAGGGGTTCCTCAAAACCTCTTTCCCAGAGTCCCACACACTTTGGAGGAGTCTTCCAAAAGAGTGACCCTAATGTTTGAAGACATAGGAGACTGCCCCTCTACATAGATTAGACTCTAACTGATCAACTCTCTAAAATGGGTCAAGTCTCTGCTTATTGAGGGGGGGACTGGTGTTTAGCAGAAATTAGCTATGCAGATATTGATACCATGGGACATGAGTCCCTTCCATTTTGGTGCTTAATTCTCCCATGGTTAATATTATGCTGTGCGGCAGGATACCACAGAGCCTGTTCATCTTGTTGTGATATCCCAGTTTTCAGATAGATTTGAGTCCAGTAGCACCGTAGAGACCAACACAAATTTGAGGGTATAAGCTTTCAAGAGTCAAGGCTCCCTTAATCAGATACGAGCAGTTTTCAGAGTTGCACAATTGAGATGCCTGACTAAAACCAGGTAAATATTCAATTAACAGCTCAATCAAACTACACAATCTCATCTATCTTTCTCAGACTTCACTTGTATTTGAGCTGGATGAGTTATTGATATGAGGCCTGTTCAATTTAGTTGCCATACCAATTTTTCCAAGGACTTTCTCCCCATTACTTTTTTTTCTTGGTTAAGCCATTTTAGGTATTTTGGTTTCTCAGCATTGTATAGTATTGTACCAAGGTGAAAGACCTCGCAAATTAATTTGAGGCAGGGGGAACTGAGTCTTTCCCCCTAGATCCATATAGAACACTGGATTTAAAACCGACCTTTTAGCCTACCCGTATGAATTTATCAAATATAGTTTGCAACTCTTTTATTAATGGGTTTTTTAAAAGAAATAATTATTAGCAATTTGGGAGGGGGAATCATCTTCAGGGCCACCGTTCTATGTAGAGATTAAATATTTAAGGTGCTCCATTGCAAGATATCCCTCTGGATGGTGTCCATCAGTTTCAACTGATTGTTTTTAAGCTGCTCTGTTTGTTTCGTAGTGATGTTAACCCATAAATACTTCTATCAGGATATTACCCATTTGTAGGGGGTAGTTCAGTGAGAGCAATCTGCCCTCAGAAGAAGATGAAGCCACCTGGTTTCCTGACAGCCCTGGGGGTTTCTCCATCTGGTATAACTAGCAAACACAGTTTGGAATGGCAGAGGGATGTATATCTCCTTGTGAGCAGTGGACATGATTGATCATAATTTATATATTACTTTTTTATCCCACCTTTCTTCCAAGGAACCAAGGTAGAGTATGCTGTCTCCTCTCCTCCAATTTACACTCACAACAACCCTGTGAAGGAGGAGAGGTGGACAGTGATGGTCTTAATGTCACCAGGAGAGATTCATGGTAGAGTGGAGATTTGAACCTGGGTCTCTCAGTCCTAGTCTGAGGCGCTAACCATTACACCACACTGGCTTTCACTCTCTATACACTCACACTCTGGTATTTGAACTTGGGTACAAAAGGTTGTGTGAAGTTTCCCCCTAGAAGAATCACAAAAGCAGGAGACTCATTGCTCCTTCCAAAGTTAGCATAGGGAAACCTACCAATTATGTGCATTTATATCACTTGCAACTACCCACTTAACTTTCCCAAGGAATGACAGAAAGCCGAAGAGGAACAGCTGAGTCAAGTCTGATGTTTTCATGTCTCTGGAAGAAAGAAAAAGACTTCTGGCTGCTTCCAGAATTTGGCTTTACTCACATGTTTGGACTGTGCTGTAACAAATACATTAAAAATTCTCCATCAAAGTCACCCAAATTCTGTGACTGATACAGTTTATGCAAATGATGCAACTTGTCTGATTCTCATATTTTGAATAATTCATTCAAGGGGAGGCGCATAGGCCGGGCAATCTCTGGATCCTGTTTGGAAAATGTATTTTCTTTCCCCCACCCAGTTCCACTAGGCACCTCCCACATGTTTCCAAGTATATCTTTATCCCCATAAGGACTAGAGACTTCCTTCGAAAACAAGCAAACTGAGATTCTTAAAAATCTGCATTCTGTAATCAAAGCACATTCTGTGGCTTTTCTCCACTGTCGGAATCACAGCAAACACACAGACTTCCAATACTATGTTTTCGGCATCTTGAGAGCCTTAAGCTTGTCCTCTCTACAGCACAGTAAAAAAACAAACTAAGGCTGATAGCAGAAGCCACAGGAACTGGACAGGATCCCACCCACACAATCTGTACTCGTGGCTGCTTTGTTTTCCCTTTGCGCTGGGGCTCTTAAAGAGATCTGTCCATGGATACATTTTTTGTTGGAAATATGTTTGTGTTGCAAGGTCTAATTCAGTCATTATAGGGTTAATCTGTTTACCTTGTGTGCTATTGTTTAGACTGGCCTGGAAGGGAAAGCTGGCACAGAGCAAATGGGAAGACAGCCCGGGAAATCTAAATCTGTTTACTCACAATCATTGGTTAATGCATCCAAGTGATTTCCTTCTAGGGGTCAAGAAGAAGAAGAATCTCCATTGTTATTCTTGCAGTTGTTGGTGGGAGACGGTGTGGTTGGTCTGTTCTGTAGCTGTAGAGATGTAACCTTAGGTCTTTGTTATTTTGTACATTTTCCTGTGTACCCTTCCCTTAGAAATAAAGATTTTACACAGAAAGAAATGCCTCCTCTCTAGTGAAGCAAAGATCCATTGTAAACTCTGAATATCTAAGTATTTTTGCTAATTTCCCCAAAATATTCTG